TGCAGCAACTAAGTGCTTCTTAAATTCCAGAACTTTTACTTGAGCAGAGCATTCATGACCAAAGTGAATTTCCATTTCCTTTAGTAAATGCTGTTTTTATATAGTCGTAGTTGAAGAGGCAACACAGTGTAAACACAGCAGTTTGATTCTATCTCCACAGCAGCAATAAACTAATTTGTCAAGTTATAAACATGAAATCTGAGCCTCAGCTAAATATATATGGTTACAGGTTGAATTAATAGAAGTGGCAGGAGTATGTGTGTTTATATATGTGTATACAAACATACACACACAGAGCCAATGTAGCACTGTCAGACTGATCAGCATGCGAATTAGGAACGTTTCATCCTTTGAGAAGCTAATTTTTGCCCATGTTCAGTTCAGCATTATGGAAAGGATAAATTTGATTTCATTTCTTTGTTCTAAAGTAAATTTCTGTCAGGAAAGAAGGAATGGATGGAAATACATTGTATTTGATTTTGTGTGTAGCTGTTCTACTAATAAAGTACCTTTAGATCTAGCACTGTTTTTCCCAGTTGTTTAGGTAACCACTAAAGTTTTGTCCTTCTCATTAAAAGATTGTGAGAACATGGTTTGACAGGGAGAATAAAGAAAACATCTGCCCATGTGTAAATTCCTAGATGAAAGGTGATACAGGTATGGTTCATACTATATGTAAGGGCCTCCTGTGGTTTGAATTGTGAAGAGACTATGGATGGTAGAAAAGGGCAGCTAATCTTGGAATTTAGCTAAAATCTAGCCACTTTAGCAAGGTTTTATGGACAGATAAGACCAAGCACTGAGACTGAGTGAGAAGTATTGAAAAGTAGTGAAGTCCGAAGTGATTCAGACTGTATATACTGTATATTCAGTATATGCACCCTGGCAATGCTGTATGGTGGTGCATAGGAGTCATATATTTCCATCAATTAAAAATATGGCCTTCTAGAAGTTTAAAGAGTTTCTGAAGCACTTTGAAAAAACATTTTGAAGTAGGTCTTGGCAGATGATGTTTGCTGAATTGTCGTAGTTTTTTACTTGTTATCTCATCCCTCTGTCCCACCTTTGTAACAGAGGACATGTGGCTGTGCCCTGCTGCTCCAGTTTACTATCCAGTACTTTCACTTTGACACCTTTTGAGACTGGGCATGTGTTAAGATGCCAGGCTGTGATGTGGAGTTGCTGAGCGAGCAGCATATGTGCCCTTTTGCTGACTGTGTGTTCAACAGCTATCTCAGTGGAGGGCTAGCTGTGAAACATCAGAGAAAGAGGAGGAAGGCAGGTGAATCTGGGTGTCAGTTTGCCTGCTTCAGTGAGTCGTGACTCTCATTCAATGTATGATGAATTACCTCTTGCATGTCTAACAGATTTCCACGTCGCACTTTGTGAGATAAAGGTGGGCTTTAGTGAGTGAGGGCAAATTTGATCTGTTCTTCCCTTCCAAGTGAATCTTTGACAACTTTTTCCCAATTTCAACAAGCAAGTTCTAAATTAAGTGAGCTTCCCTTTTGTGTGTCTGCCTTGCCAAAGGCTGCTGCTGATATAGTCTTGACAAGCATGGCTTAAAGAGTCTGAAAGATGAAAAGCTCTTGTGCTTTAGAGACCAAAGCACAAATCCAGCAATGCACTCAGGTGTGTCAAGGTCACTCACTAGTATATCCAGAGATGGTGTTTTAGTGTGGACTTCTCAGTAAGACCCTGCTCAAATGCATCACTCTTATCTGAAGCCATATGTTGCACTAAGTTATGTAAAGGCCAAGACCAGGGCAAAGCAAGTTGGTGTTAATAGCTTTCCCTTTTTGTCTTTGTTTGCAGTAGTACTTCCTCACCTGGGGAAGGCAGAGAAGGGGAGTAAGGAAGAATATCTGTCTAAATATTTAAGTGAAGCAATGGAAAGAAAAGAAACAATAACATGTTGGAATGATGAGATTTTGGGAAAGGGATTGGAAAAAAGAAGAAACACCTACGTATGCACAAAATTATCTCTTACAATCTGAATTATTCTTAAAGCCCCTTTTCTAGTTTTCAGTTTTGCACCTGTTTCTATATGTTTGTTTACTACAAATTTTGGTCTCAGTTAGACTGATAGACTAGCCATCGTTTGACCTTTCTGAAACATTGTTTCTTTTTTTCTGGGAAGTCAGACAGAATGTGTTTGTACACATGGTGAGTCCAGGATATCCTGGTCTTAGGGCACAAAAATGGGCCAGCCATATGTGCAGTGAATCTACATCAGAGGTGCATCAGTTCTACTGTGTCTTTAAAACAGAATTAATTGATGCATGCCCAGAGATTACTTGCTCTGCTTTTTGGACTCCTGAAAATCTGACCAGGGCAGTTTTGACACTTGGCAGGAAGTGGAATATTGGAAATATTCGGCTGAATATGAGCCAGCAGTGTGCTCAGGTGGCCAAGAAGGCCAACGGCATCCTGGCTTGTATCAGAAACACTGTGACCAGCAGGGCTAGGGAGGTGATCGTCCCCCTGTACTCGGCTCTGGTGAGGCCGCACCTCGAGTACTGTGTTCAGTTCTGGGCCCCTCGCTACAAGAAGGACATCGAGGTGCTTGAGCGGGTCCAGAGAAGGGCGACGAAGCTGGTGAGGGGCCTGGAGAGCAAGTCCTATGAGGAGCGGCTGAAGGAGCTGGGCTTGTTCAGCCTAGAGAAAAGGAGGCTCAGGGGTGACCTTATCACTCTGTATAAGTATATTAAAGGAGGCTCTAGCGAGATGGGGGTTGGCCTGTTCTCCCATGTGCCTGGTGACAGGACGAGGGGGAATGGGCTAAAGTTGCGTCAGGGGAGTTTTAGGTTAGATGTTAGGAAGAATTTCTTTACTGAAAGGGTTGTTAGACATTGGAACAGGCTGCCCAGGGAGGTGGTTGAGTCACCATCCCTGGAAGTCTTCAAAAGACGTTTAGATGTAGAACTTAGGGATATGGTTTAGTGGGGACTGTTAGTGTTAGGTCAGAGGTTGGACTCGATGATCTTGAGGTCTCTTCCAACCTAGAGATTCTGTGATTCTGTGAAATACGAAACAAACATACAAAAAGCAAGCATGTGGTAAATGACATCTGAAAAATATAAATTCAGGCTCTATTTTTGTCATTCAACCCCTTGTATGAGATTGATTTAACAGATAAAACCAGAATCCTGCTTAAAGTGTTTGTGATTGTGCCTGTGTAAACTGGTGGACACTAATTAATTTTTTATTTTTATTTTTTGAAATAAGTGTATTTTTGTCTGTTCACTGAAAGCTGAGGGAAGAAAGACAGATATCCAGAGTCAGCAGTGCTCTATGCGGTGACATTACTCCTTATTGTATTTATTTTGCCCACTTTTAACAGTGGGAGGAAGTCTGTGGAGGGAGAGTTGTTTTATGAGACATCTGTAAAAAAAAGGATACCTTTATTTGCTGTTTGTCAGCATTTTGAAGATTGTGTATCTGGAGTCTAATCCTATGGTAAAGTTGGTCTCAAGTCACACAGGATTAGTTGTTTATTATGGCACAAGATTCATTTCTCAGGGGATCTCATTTCAACTATCACATAACATCCTGCTTATCTACTGATCTCTTGAACTTTCAGGTCTCTGTGTTTGTTCCTCTAATGTGGCTTTGTAGTCAGCTATTAAAGCTGTAATAGTTTACTGCTGATAGTAGTTTGGTATCTTCAGTAGTAGATGATATGCCTTAAAGAAACATTATGTTTCTTGACTATTTTACTTCTGAAGTTTCTTCAACTCTTAAAGAGTTTCTTTAAGAAGTCCTAGGTACTGGAAATCAGTTGAAAGAACCAAGAGGTACTGCCCATGGCTTTGGTTAAATTTTGTTTTAATAAACATTTCGGGAGTTGAAAAAAAAATAAAATGTGTATGAATTTTGAGTATGAATTCACATCAATGGAAGTATTCCCAGTAGCATTAAAATCTGGTTCCTGAATCACTAATTAGCTGCTACATGACAGTAAAATTTACACAAAACCAAAAAAGCTGATGAAATAAACTGAATAAACTTTCAAGATAGATTATATATAAACATTTTAAAGGATTATTAAATGCCTTGACTATGGCCTAGTAATTAAAATGCACAAGTAATTAAAATAAACAATTCATGCTTAATATCTGTAATACAGATTAGTGTAAAATTTTGCAATAAATAATAGCAATGTTCTTATTTAATTAAGTCTAGGATGAAAAATCTGCCCTCAGGGTTGTCTAGTAGATCTCAGTCTTTCATTGTTTGATCTAGTTACTGAATTTGGGGGGGGGGGGAATTTCAGTGTTATTAATTTTATCTCTTTAGAACATGCAAAAAATATATTTTTATTTATTTGATTTTTATCTATTAATTTAATTTAATTTAATTTCTTACCAAAAGCTTCCTGGAATATAGTCCTTCTCTTTTTACAATCCCTTTGTAGAAAGTATCCTTTCCCCATATTTATGAAATACAGATTATAGTTACAAATCTAGTGTGATAAAAAAAATATATTTTTTAATGCTGCTCATCAAAAATAAACACCATGCAATTGACCAAGCAGGATACTAGTCCTGCCATAGCATCCCTGAAATCAGACTGAAGTCATCAGATTCAAGCTTTTGGGCACTGGCGCCCTGAAGTCAAGGACATCAATTCTGTCTTCATCTAGCTCTCTGTTGGACTTTTAGAAAGTGATTTCATTGGCTGGTTGAGGGCTAAAAAAGAGTAAATCTTTTTTTTTTTTTTAAATGTACATGTGAAAATATTTAAGTAGGATATACACAGAGCAAACTGTTCCTGAGTGAATTATTAATTTAGTAAATTTTTCTTACTCCCAAGCCCACATAGATCCTGCCAGGAACATCCATGAATAGATTTCAAATACTTCATTATTTTTAATTTAATTTCAATACTTGCAAGGGTGTCATGTGCATAGATCAGACTGCTACAAATTTGCAGACTGCTTGGAATGTGGAAGCCTCTGGCTGTCTCCTAGAGGTTAAGACATTTTTGTGTTCTTCCAGACTTGTTCTGCTTCAGAGGCTAGAGACTTGTCATCTTAGCAGTCCAGATGGAAGGCTCGTCTTGAAGGTAAAAGCCTGACTTTGTCTATCTTGACTATTTAAAATCTGTCTTAAATGTGGGGTAAGCTAGTGCAGCCTTGGGGCTTTAAATCTAAGTCCTGGGCTCCTCTTGGAGAAACTTCTGCCTGGGCTCCCTCCCCCTTCATTCTTCCTCTCTATCCATATATTTTCCTCACTCCAGGGTTTGAGAAGTATTGCCTGGGAGTTTTTGTCACTGACAATCTTCTCTTGGCCAGTCAGTTTTTCATGTTCCGTTAAGGGTTCCCACTTTCTTACAGAGCAGATATAGGGTCCTAATGTTAGACCTTTACCTATTTGCAATTATGAAATAGGTAGTAATTACTCATTTCATCTCTGGGGTACTGTTTTTCCTGTTCACACTACTAAAATATGTATGAAAGAAGAATAAAATTTGGCTTTCAGGATGGTTGGGGAGTACAAGCTGTCACCCACATGGAAGTATGATTATTAAAGAGCTTGCTTGCCTTCAATATTTGTAGCTGAAAACCCAAATCCTTTCCTGCATGTTTGCTGAACAATTACTTGGAGTAACAAACACCATAAATGTAAAACTGTGGCTAGAAACTGCAGAACTTATCGAAGTCTGCTGTCAAGCAGGGTAAGGCAGTGAGATGGAAATAAGGTCTATAGTTTTACAGGGACTCAGAAGAAAAAAATCCCTTCTATGTTATTATTTCTCAAAATGGTTGTATATTCTCACAGCTTCTTGAAAGGTAATGTTCTCCCCTTTAACACCTTTCTTTAAAAACAAAGGAAAGAAATGATGGGAGGGGGGGAATGCTGGTGAGAAGTTGTGAAATCTTTTTTGTGGTGAAGTACATTGTTGGATAAACCCCTGTGATTGTGGTATTGTTATAGTGCTTATTATTTATTCTATAGAAAGTAGCAGCTCTATATTTACTGAATATATAGTTATGGACTTTAGAACATTTATTTACTTGGATGTCCATAATGGATCTGAATAAACTGCTGTGTAAGCACACATTCAAGCATTTTAAAAAAGTGCATATTGTTTACTTGATTGACCATATACAAAACCATGATAGAAGCACTATTGTTTAGCCAATACTGTTTTGAGGCCATGCCAGACTAATAAGTGAATAGGTATTCATAAGTGTTTCTAAAACATATATCATTTACCTGGTATTAGGAGTGTAGCTTTTCAGAAGTGCTTTAAAGTGTACCTTACTAATGTATTTTCCCAATAGTGATTACAGTTAAACACTTGGGATTTTTTTTATCTTTAAGAAAAGTACCCCTGAAAGTGCCTTGAAAATTTTAAAGGTTTACTGTGAATACAAAAATAGGAACTGCTATATCCAATAAGATGAATGTTGTTGTTATTACTATTAAGAGCAATAGTACAGTAGTGTTTAGAGGCTGCAGGTGATATTAGGGCCCACTCTGTTATGCACTGTGCAAATATACAGTTGCAGTTTTTGAGCTGATCTTTACAAATCCTGTTTAGTTAACTGGGTTTCGTAGCACCAAAAAGTTCAGCCTATCTGCTTACATTCACAACTGAAAATAAAATTTTACATTAAATAGTTCTTAAATATTTCTAAGAATGTTTCACACATGCTAACTTAATTTCTGATGTAGGTCTGCATTACTAATTTTGCAATAATATATGTAAAGATGAACATAATTTCTGCTCAAGAAACTAATCTTCCCTGAAGAAGAAAAATAATTACAGTATATTCATACTTTGACATACTAAAATAGCTTCATATTTACTGAAATTAATTAAGTGCTGATCAGACGGTGGCATTTTCTCATGTTTTCTTATCACCAGATCCTTCAATCTAAATGTTTTTCTGCTCTGGCCCAATACGAGCATACTGGAATATTGATGTTTGGACTTACACATCTCTTCCAATCTTCAGAAAGTTGTATTAGGAATCCCATTGCATATCTTTTCTTCCTTTTTCTGGTCATAATTCTTCCTGATGTACCTTAGACTCTGTTTTTATTAGTCACCTCACATTTTTTTCTTCAGTGTTGCCATCCAGAGTATAAGAAAATGATCCCTGCTCTTGCAACGACATACATAAACAGCATATTTTAGTCTTTGTTTCAAAATCTCTAGCTGGCCATTTAATTTGGAGAATATAATTTGCCCAATCCTTTCAAGTATTTGGCTTTTACTGGTGCACTATTTCTTGTATTCTGTACTTGGATTTCATAAATTTTTGTCTAGAGACAACTGCAAATATGACAAACTTGACTTTATCTCCCTTTGTAAGGGTGTGTCTATGGCTTGTATTAGTTCTGTTAGAGATACGCCGTTGATGGTTATCAGCTTTAAGATGATTATAGGTTTTTGGGGCTCATTGTCTCATTTTGTGTGAGAGTATATATATTTCTATTTTCAACCCTTATGTTCAATGTCACAACAACAAAGCAGGTACAAAATGTCAATGGATTCATAGCTTATTCTATATAAAAATCATTTTTGCTTAGCTTTGTTTGTGTAAGTTAGAGATAGTCATAGATGTAGACAGGACTCTTCTGTAAATGGAAGTTGCAATGTGGTATTTCCTGATTCTGAAGGTTTTTTTGATAGTGACAGTATTACTTGTACTGGTGTTCTGTATTTCATCAGAGGTGATCATGCACAGAAGCTGTCATTTGTTGCAGGGACTTTGCTGCATATACAGCTACTGCCTTTCGTTTGGACTAGCATTCCTTTATTGTTTAAGAAATTAAACGGTCAGATTAAAGGTATGATCATCTTCACGCATCCTTTAATTAGTGCTACACACTATTTATACCAGTGCTTACCTAGTGTCTTGGAGATTGAGAGGACTAAGATCCTTGAAAGTCATTATCTCCTGGCTACTGTCTATATTTCATGACTTGAAATTTTTTCATTTTCTAATACTTTTATCAGAGGAATGCCCTGGTATAGTTTCACATTAATGGAAGACAATAAAATAAGCACAGGAAAGTGGCAAGTAAGGTACTCTTATCAGCATGACAAACATTCTTGGATGCTTGTTTGTATTTTTTATTTAATATTTATCACCATAGATTGTTAAACAAACCAAGCTTGTGAACAAAAGGGAACAGGTACATTAATCATTCAGTTTTATCCTTACTGGAAAATAACTTATTCATACCAAATTGTTTATTTTCTGAAAGTCCAGGATAAAACATCAAGGGAAAATTCGTATTAGTTCTACTGGATGCATTTAATCTAATTTTATGCCTCAGATTAGAAAAGATTTTAGTGTACAAACAGAGAAACACATGTAGCTTTATTTTATACTGACAGCCATTTTTTTTGTATGACAATTGCTGATTTGTATCTTTGCTTGTTGAACAATAAGAACTTCTAAAGGTGCAAAATCCAAAACATAAACCTACTTTATGACTTGATTGGGTGTTTTTTTAAAAGGTTGTTGGTCTAGAAGTAAATTTGTTAATTATCCTTGGGGATGGTGAACTTGCCTTATGGGAGGCTTGAGTGATGGCAGAGAGCTTATTGGGGGTGTCTTGAGAGCCACTTCCTTGACTTCTCCTGTCTTTCTCCTAAGACATCTTGGCAGTGATGAAATACTGGCAGTTTGTGATGATAGTCTTATGAAATGAAGTTATAGTACACACAGTATGGTTCCCTAGTGTTTTGTTGCTAAGTAGTGCTTGTGCATGTTTAATCCCTTCCTTGAAAATTCCAAAATAGAAAATAGACACCTGGAGGGAAGGAAAACTATTCATCTCCGACCTGAAATATGTTTTCTTACATTGCTAAATAAAGGACTACACAAATTCCCTTATTTACACACCCACATTATGCCAACGTACATGTTAACCTTTACAGTTGGCAGAAATTGGGAGACTGGCTGCCAGTTTCTGTTTTGTATAGATTGAAGTAATCAAGCATGGCACTACAGTATGAAATATGTAACAAACGATGTTAGAGTGTATATCACAAGACTGCAGTGCAGCATGAAAGTAATGTTTCAAAAAGAGAAAGCAGAGAGCTTATCTTGCACCTTGCTTTGTCTTGTGCACTGGGGATGAATTTGGGCCTGTGATTTTGTTTCTGTAGTGACAGAAGTGTCTGCAAGTAATCTGCAAATACAAATTTTAAATGTGGAGAAGTATAAAGGAAAAAAACTTAAAATGTGGGGAAAAAAGAGCTCACATCATGTGTAGATGTGTATTATACTGGTAGAACTAAAGTAAGGGTGAAGTTCTGCTCCTGCTAGAACCAGTGGGACAAAATACCACTCAGATGCCTTTAATGGGATGCAGGTGTAAAGACAATTTTCTTGAAGACACTTTATACCCATTCTAGTATTCTCACTGCCAGCTTTACTCCAGAGTGCAGATAACTTTTCAGATCTGTCCTTAACACAAGATATTTGAGACAGCCTCTCTTACTAACCTGCTGTAGTGGTGCTAAATTCCAGAGCAAAAGAATCAGCAATCAGTTTAACAAGGTGCTGGCATAAGCACAGTTTCCAGAGCAGAGTAGAAGGAAAGGGAAAAGATACTCCTTGAAAGAAGAAAGGTGTAGAAATTGGCTTAAAAAGCTTGCTTTGTGCTACTGAATTTCCTTTTGCCAGTGAAAATTATTTTACAATACGGGGAAAAGGAAAAATAAAAATTGAGGAGAGGTGGGTATTTCTACCCAGTAAAGAGAACAGAAAAAGCAAAGTTTGGTGCTTAAAACAAAAACAAAAAACAAACATAGAAACGAAGATTGCATTTACAGTAATGTAATGGCTGAATGAGGAGTCTTTGAGACTGTAAAAATGTACCTTGGAGCTTTTCAACTCTGATAGTCTCATCTAAGGTTGTACATCCAAAATGTTTTGTCCAGCACCCAATGATCATATTCTCAAATCTGATGCAAATGTGGAAGTTGATATTTAAGAGTGTTTGGATTTAAAGATGATCTTATTTGAAACATTTTTTTAACTCCCATTTGTCATTTTGCTGTTTTCTGGTATGTGAGAGGGACTTCCAAGTATGTTTTACCCAGTGTAGTTTTGTTTCCAATAATGTTCATTCTTCCTTGCACGAAGATTTGATTCAAATATAAGGATGGAAAAGTGAGCTTTAGACTTCAAATGTCAATTTTCCTCTACGGTGTAAAATTGTCATAGTGTAAATAGTAAGCTTTAGTTGACTGTTACTCCCAGTTCAGTTTGCGGCTCAGTTACCCTCAGAGGTTTAGGTTTTTCATTTATTCGGTGCTCCTAAAATAGTCATGTTCTGTGACTTCAGCTGTTTCCGGAAAAGACGGATTCCTTTCTTTCCCTAAGATGTCTCGTGAAGCGTAAGCCCGAAGGAGCAAGCAGAAGACAACAGGCTTTTGCAATCCATTTTAGAGAGTAGTTGAAATATCTTCCCTGAAATTGGCAGCTATGTGCCGGCCCCTTCCATCTGCAGGCACTGGTACAGTTGGCAGTTTCCACCCTGCAAAATCAATCATGCCCCTTCCAGATTAAAGACCTAAATAATGTTCATGCATTTTAAGAGCATTTTTTAATTTCCTGATATTTATAACAACACTTGGGGAAACTTGACACCGAAATCTGTTTCCCAACTGCATTTGTTTTTCCCTCATGTATGCACACTGATTCGTTATTGCAAGATTGCTCATCAGTGCTGGGCTTTTTTCTGTTTTGGGGTTTTGTTTAGTTTTTAAGACAGAGAATTAAAGCACTCATTATCAAAACAAATATATATTTATATATATAAACCCCTTAGTTTTTAGAGGCTCTGAATTAGTGCTAATGACTTCTTTGAGCTTTCCAATACTATGTTTTCAAAAGTCCCTTAAAATGCTAACTCTAGATCATCTTTTGTTACACATGGTGAGTGAAAAATGAAACTGAAGAAGAAGATTTTGTGCTGACCTTAGACACATCTGCCAGAGCAGTCACCTCATATAAGCAACACCATGCTCATAGTTGAAAACGCTTTGGAAAGAAAAGAGCTAAACTGACTCTAGCCCATAGGAGACTAAACTGACTCATAGCCCATTTTTTTTTCTTTTTTTTTTTCCTCATTGTTATGATTTGTATACTTTTGCATCAGCAATGTAGCACAGGTTTTTGGGATGGGATTAACTTGACCAAGAGAGGAAAATATCTATCTTCCTGTGAAGTGCTTGATCTTCCCCCTGTTTCCCAACATATAATCTCTAGGCTGCTTTTGGAAGTGTGTCTTATCACCTCTTTGCTGTATCTCTGATTCCCTCCCATGTGAATACATTCTCATGTTTCCTTCAATGTCAAATTGTGTTAAGTGATGGTGCACCTAGGTGCTCAAAATAAGAAGCTTTCTCCTAGCTGAATGTGGAATTCACATATTGTAATAGGAAAGTAGAAGTGAGGCCAGATGATTTTACTGTGTAGACAATTCTGTTAATTTTAAATAAAAAACTTACTAACTATGCTATTTATCTTGCTGAAACAATGTTAAATATTGAGGAGTTCAGGACAAGATTCCTATTTATGTATATTGAAAAGCCCCCATTCTGGGACTGTTGTAGCTCAAGCTTTAATAATGTGTCAGATATCCAAATTGCTCAAGAATAACCAAAGTTCTAATCTGTCTAATCTAAAATAGGTGTATGTAAATACAGGGAGACATAGATGTTTTCCAGATTCATTATACCAACTGTGCATGCACTATGTTAGCTACTTGCCAAACTGAATAATTTTGCTTCAGTCAAGAACACTTCTACAATATTTCTACAACAAATACATTTCAGGAGTGGAATTGTCTGTAGCTCCTGTTTGGACCAGCTCTTTGAGCAGTAATTTCACATAATAATGCTGAACATAATTCTTGGAGGGCTTGAACCATATATTCAGAAAAGTTGTATATGTGGTGTCTCTGGAAAGCATTTATTATATGATTTTTTAAGAAACAGTAGAAGATACTCTAGGCTAGGTGAAATTTTATTGTCAGGTTATTAAACTGTAGGAAGGTATCTTTGTTTCTATGTACACTTAAGTAAAAGCTGAATAGTGTTGTGAGAGAACAATGAAGTTTTTTTTTGGTCTGAATTCCATGATTTTTCATTTATTTTTAGGCTTGTTTGATTATTAGGCTTTCTTTTTCCTCTAGGATTCTGAGCACGTCTGATACAGCTGAAATAAGGCATCTACTTTGATCAAGTGAACACCATTTGAAAGATCACACAACAGATAGGAGAAAATTATGCAGAATAACTGGAAATAATTGACAGGTAGATTCATTTTGCTCCATACGTGTTTATACTTTCACTTTTATGATCATAATAAACTTCCTGGGTTGTCTAGTTGTTCCCTGCTGATAAAGAAATCTTACCCAAAACTTTTATAAGCTTACCTAAGGTGAAAAGTATGACAGAAAAAAGCTGAGATTGTTTCACTAGTCACAGCTTCATAAGTATTTGGTATTAGAGGCATGAACCATCACATCTAGCAAATTATTTCTAATTACTACATATTTAGTTATAAAGCATGGCCCAGAGTCTGAAATGAGATCTGACCTGAGTCTTTATGTACTGATTCTCATCCCCCTGGATGGCAACATAATTTCTACTGGAGCAATGACAGTAACATGGTAAATTTAGTTTCTAAAGACAAGCATCACGATTTAAATGTTTAAATTTTAAATAAAATGGTCTAATTGTAAATAGAGACAATCATGATGCTAATGAAACCAAATAGGAATGAAGTGCTGCAGAAACGGTCATTTAAAAAAATAATTATGATTAGACTTGGGAGTATATAGACCAGGCCTGTTATGATTAATCCATCCATAGGGTTTTTGGTTGTCCTCAAATCTTTGCTTACCTGGTCCCCCTGCTTATCATAAGTGGTTGCATCTGACTGGACCAAAGGTTTCTTGTACCAATGAACTTGTCTTCGATATTGATGGCTAGGGAATATGGCAAGAGACTGAATGATATTTCTACTAAGTAGCATCCTGTAATCTGTGAGATAGGGATTTACTGAGTCACGTGTATGTTTGAAGATTTGATAGCCCTTAGAGGGGTTTTCTTCTACCTATTTGTCCAGCCATTATTTAACTAGATGTACATTTCTAGGAAATTTTATAATGTCCTTTGTCTTCCGTGTTCAAGCTGTCTCTTCTCATTATTTTCTCTGGTACTTTCTGTACCTTTTTTTTCAGAACAGTTTTTCATGTTTCATTCCATCTGAACTTTAAGGTTTCCCTTCTACTAATCTGTATCTCAAAGTCTGTCTTGCAATGTTGCTGATAAGGATCTTGCCAAGGTTTTAAAAAAAAGCATCCATGTAATTTATTCCATCTATATGTTTTTAGGGCTTTTTTTTTTACTTTTCTTGGTCCTTTAGCTCCTTAAGACAAATATCTTCTTGAATGTTGCTACTTATGGGTGACAAAAAAGGCAATAAAATAACATGCTTTTTATTTTTATTTTATTTTTGAGGATATTTCCAAACTTTGTTTAAAGCTCCCTAATGGACTGGAAGTTTCTACCTAGCACTTATTTCTTTGGCTTTAACACAAGACAATGAAATACAGGAAGCAAATGGGGCAGGGGTGAGAGAGAATTGAAGTACCAATTTGTAAATGGTCTTATTTCTGACAGAAATGTTGATAGGTCTTTTGCCAGGCTTGAGAGCCAGTTGTTGTGGTGGCTGCAGTTGTCTTGCCTGTGCACTTACGAGTGTCTGTCAGTCACTAAGATGATACATTTCTTTATCATGTGTGTGATTATAAACCATTATTTTGTGAGAGAGGCCCTATGCTTTTCCTAGTGTCTCAGCTGCTCTTTGTAAAAGTTCTTCTGTCAAGGAATTCTTCAGACTTGTACAATAATGTATCAAGGTGGCAAACTCTGACAGCTTCAAAAGCTGGGTTTCATTTCATAGGGGCTTTTAAGCTGTCTTGGATATATACCTGGCAGACATTTCAGTCACTGTCTCTGCACTGTTTTCCTCTTGTTTCTTTCCCACATGCCATGAAAATATTTTCCTTAAAGTATTTACATAGTAAGAGTCTTCCATGTGATTTTTTTTCTTAGAAACAGCATTTTAATGGATAATTGAGAAGGAACACTTCCTTTCTCATTAGACACAGAATAATTTGATCTCTGGCTAATGTATTTGAAAAATAATGTTTCAGTGTGTTATGATAATAATAAAGCAGATTTTTTTCCTTCCACAAGGTTACATCTGTTTACACTATTTTACTATCTCTTGAGTGGTATGATATGAAGTCTTTTTATTGCAGTTTTGTTTAAGAAGAGCTGAGCATGTGATGGAACTGTCAATCAGCATTTAGTCATACAGTATCTATTTCTGTCCCTGTTCCTCTTAACACAGAGGGCTATTATAGTCTACATTACGGGATAGGTACTTGGGATAAAGATATCCTTGAGGGGCAGGATTTATTATGAAAGGAAATTCAACATAACATGAGACATAGTTTAAACAGCTGAATTTACTTGCAAATTCTAAAAGTTAAATAAAGCAGAAGTTGCTTTTATACATTTGGATTTTCTGTTTGAACCAGAAGGGTGTTAGTATAATTGAATTTGCAACAAAGAAACTTCAAACAAGGCTATCAGGTTTTTCATAACTGAAGTTATTTGCCCTAAGTTTGATGTATTCTTTGTCTCAAAGGCTAGGACTTCCAGGGTTGTTTACATACTCCGGTGGGCACAAATTGCTTTCCAGTGGTCATATAGCTAGCTCACGCACATCAGTGATACTCAGAGTGACTGGAAGCCTGCTCCTGACACAACTCCCCCCTTTTGTCCTCCATTACAAGTCTTGCATAAAGTAAGCACCTACTGCATCCTTTAGAAAAAATAAACTGAGTAAGACTTACATCTGGCTAAGACAACTAAAACAAAAGGTATAAAAGGAATTACATTTCTGAAAAATGGAATAGATTAGTATGATGTCTGCATTCTTGTATGTATATAAACTCATATGTGTGGAGACTTATTTTGGCTAGATAAACTGGAAAGGGTCTCATGAGGTAGAATTACTACTAAAGAATTTGGTTGAGTCCAAACCAATTTAGTGTACATTACCCTGTCAGGGAACCTAATTTCTGAAAAGGAAAATCTTTTCAAAAGTTGTGTTATAAACTGCAGCTTAAAAGGAACAAGTGAAATCTGCATGACCTCTTCATTCTGTTATTGAAATGTATGAATTAATTCTTGAGGTCTTAATCTTCTTATAATGCTGCCAAAAGACATGTCGCACCATGTGGGACATGGAAGTTGAGAAATGCTGAAGGAAATGTCTGTTTTTTAACTATGAATTTTCTTGTCTTGTATAGCCTTTAAGCTTTCTTGAATGTAGATCACCTTGCATTTTGCAGTTTTAGGGGGTTGAAGTAAATAACTACTAGTTTTATAAGGCATTACCACATCTTGTTTAAGCCTGGTACTTTCAGTCAAGTATTGCTGTAAATTTGTTCTTTAAGTATTATCAAAATACCATATATTATTTAATGTAATTAAACGTTTGTCCAATAATAGTGTATCAATCTCTGCTGCTATGTAGAATTGTAAAGGGGTTGGCCTGTTGTCTTAACAATTAAAAATAACTTAATCTTATTAATAGAATATTAAATTGATACTAACTGTTCTAAAAATGTTGATGGCTTCATATCATTTAACAACTTCAGATGTAGGATTATAATAGTACCCAAAATGCAGCCAGTACTACACAAATATAGTAAATTAAAAATGTTTTTACCATATTTATCAACTATTCCAATAAGATTTTCTCTTGTAATATAGAATGAAAATAAATGTGAACCAGTCTCTATTGTGCTTGCTCTTTGGAAAAAAAAAAAAAAGTCCCTACATTTCTGATACAAGTAAATAATTAAGTGTTATTTTAGAGAAGTAGGAATTTGACCTGGATAACTTCAGATGATATGGATTTTTCCTGGAGTACTGAAAATTCACAGACAAGTCACGTGAGTTTGCCTTCCTGTACTGAGTCAGGGGAGGAGAAAAAATACTTATGCATGTTTTCAGTAATAAATCACTTAAAGAATATGCGTTTGCAGAAGACTGCTTTGATTTTGGAGTGCACAAATATTATCATCAATTCAGTTAATGTATGGTGTTGATCTTAAGGAGTGGATATTCCTTGAGCTTAATGGCTTAATCCATTCCAAAATGGAGTTACTTTGGTAGAGGTGGATAAATTTATTCTCAACTACAAAATACTTTCTGCCTTGTGTAGTACATGCAATATTAGTTACATTGGATCACAGGAGTCATTGGATCACAGGAGTTTTTCAGGTTCACATTTGGAAGGGGAAGATGCATACTTTATGAGAAGGCAAAATATTACTTTTAGGAGAAAGGTTTTAGCCTAGGAGAAATAGCCCTTGTAAGTTCTGTTCCTGGGACCATTTTCTAAAAGTGAGGTGGTGTTTCTTCTTTTATAAGTTTTATACGTCATACCTGTGTATAGTTCCACTTACCAAATGCTATTTGAGACTGTAAACACAACTATAACACAAAATGCTTAATTGTAATAATGATAGATATAAACTTTTAGTCTGACTGTGTCAGCAGTTATGTACAGGCAGTGTATTGTACGATCAATTTTTTAAAAAATAAAAAATATTTCTGTATTTTTTACAAAAACAAACAAACAAAAACAAAACAAACAAAAAAGGAATTACAGTGTATTCACACCAGCTAATTCTTAGTTACCATAGCAGCTTGTGGAAGAAGACTGGGGGAGAGTAATACTACATTTCTGTAGTGAATGCTGACAATAGCAGGAAAGTTTCCTGAGAGTTGAATTCCATGATATATAACTCTTAGATTTACATGAGAAAGTCAATAATTTAATCAGAGCATTCTAGTAAGAAAGAGGAATTTCTGCTGTGATTATTAAAAAAAAAAATAATTAGATTTCTGCATTCATTTCACATGCAACAAGATAAAGTTAGCAGAGTATGGTCTGAAGTGTTGTAACGTTTGTGCTCAGCAGGAAGAGAGTTCTTAATGGATATCTCAGTGCTTAGGAATTAAATGGTTATTTAGTCTTAGGAAAAGCAAGGTTATATATATATATATATATATTATTTTTTTTGATAGGAAGTAAATGAAAGAACACACACATCAGCTGGTACGAGGCGATTTTCAACAGATGATAGCTTTGTGCTGGAAATGTGGCTTCCATCAAATTCTGATATGTTGTTCAAGCATTTCTTTTCTGCTACCCACTCTTTCCCAACAAAGCAACACACAACAAAACTAATGAAACTTCAACACTTTTTCAAACTGAGAAATGCTTTTTTCTCAGGTCAGTATAACCCTCTGGTCTGCTCAGAGACTACCGTAGTGCTTAAATGATTGAGATAAGTTTGAAGAAACGGCCAGGCTCTTCAGAATAAGTGGCAGAGCTGTATGGAAGTAAATCTGGAAGTCTCTATTTGGTTTTCTAAAGTTGACTAGGAAGGTAGCTATTCTTGTAGCATAAATGATGTGCTATTTGACATTTGTTATTGTGGCAGATACTCATGATCCCAAGGATGGTGAAAGTCTGTTTTCCTGGGTTTGTATCAGTTCAGAAAGGCCTGGGATGGGTCATCTCACTTCTGAGTTCACATTTTTTCCTCTAAGATTGGATCCAACTTTCTGTACTGGTACTGACAAATTGCCTTTGTTTTCCTGATCTGGATCTATATCCAAAATTCAAATTCTCCTGTTGCTTTCTGAATTCCTGTAAAAAACAATTGCCTCAAGCCTAGACAAACTAGCACAGAGGTCTTAATTCCTCCAGTCTCTCACTTCTTTTTGCTAACTGTGAAATACTGCTGTCCTGCTTGTCACTGTACCATAGGCTCCACTTTTGTTTTTCTAGAACAAATTTAATGTTTTATGTGACAATAGCAGTCAATGGAGTCCTTTATTCTAATCTGTCTTGTTAACCTTTTGAACAAGTATATTTCCTTCTCCTGTTTTTCCACCAAGTTCACAAAAAACTCCTTCCTTCTTTGACTCTTCCTTCCCTGTCCCCTATTCATTTATACTGCATTAAAAAAATAATAAATAAAATTGAAAGTACATTGTGATGACCAGCATTATTCAGTTACCATTCTGTTAATGTATCTACCTACATGCACATTGCTTCTCATTTTCATAAACCTTTGGGATATTGTCAGCTCCACATGCCAGCAGGGTAGCAACTATTTATATTACAATGCCTGGCTGGTGCTCAGATCTGTTTTCTGCTCCAGACTAATTCCAGTGCCTTGCAGTTTTGCATTCATGTCCTGGGGTGACTCCTGCCATAGTTTCTGAATCTGTTCTGACATAGCTTCCTTCCTTCAGTTCTACTCAGTTGCAGTTTCTGTTTGACTAGACCATTGTACCTATTTATGTTGGCCTTTAATCTTAGCTCTTGGGATTCATGATCATTATAACAAGAAAAGACTTTGGGATTAGTTTTTTTTTTTTCCTACCAGAGAAGGGTATTCTTCTGCAACTTGACTCCTAAGTGTTGCTATAACTCATATTAATTATTTTAATAAACACAAAATGTGAAATAACTTTTGTTAAGTCATTAGTGGTCCTCTTATTACTCTTCTTGAGTGGATGGGTCCACTAGTACGTTCTGCTTATATACAAATAGCAGTAACTGTATCATATATTGAAGCTACACACTAAATAAGAGGTCACCAGGTAAAAGCATTTTTCTTTTTCTCTTTTCCCATCCTGCAGCTAGGTCTAAGCTAAGGAAGGAGGAGAGCTGCGAGGGATTTACATGTTGTATGCACATGCACAATGTTTAAGTGGAATAACCTCTCAGAAGCTCTGTTTAAACTGAGCACACTTACAAACTGGTCCTTCGTGCCTCCTCTTGTGAGTGGGGAGGAGAGGGTTTGCAAAATAAATTAACAAAATGGTTTTCCTGTGGCCTCTGATTGGTATGCTTCTTAGTAGATTATATAAAAACGGTGTCAAATTTACTGCTGCTGAAAATTTCACCTTTGAGGGTATTTTCTTCCCTGTTGGAAAAGAGATTGGATTTGATAATGTCTCTGTACCTTGAATGACTGGAAATGTCTCACTGTTTGTCCAAACAGCTAAAATGCATAAGACAATTGAAAATGAAGTTCTTATTGATTTGCTGCTTATTTGGTTGACTCTCTTGAGAACTGGTTGGTAGAAAAGCATATATCATCACTCTTACAAGTAGTTTTGGAATTTTACGAAAGTGACAGGTGCTTGCAAAACGGCTTTACTAATCAGACCTGCACAATAAGAGCAACTAAAATGCACCATGCCTTTCAGTAGAACAGGCTTTTTCTGAACAACTGTTTGTGTGAATCAATTCATGTCTGGAGACTTGTGAGAGCTGGAGAAATCTTGCTGGAATCTCTGAAGAAGCAACAAGCTAAAAAGAAGGGATTTTAATGTTTCTCAGGAGTTGTATGGGACTTGATTCTCAACAGAAATGCTACTTATGTAGTTTATGGGAATGTGGGCTTACAAGAGCTATGACCAAGAGTAGTGTAGAGAAGAGGAGGCTCAGGGGTGACCTTATTGCTCTGTATAAGTACATTAAAGGAGGCTGTAGAGAGGTGGGGGTTGGCCTGTTCTCCCATGTGCCTGGTGACAGGACGAGGGGGAATGGGCTAAAGTTATGCCAGGGGAGTTTTAGGTTAGATGTTAGGAAGAATTTCTTTACTGAAAGGGTTGTGAGGCACTGGAACGGGCTGCCCAGGGAGGTGGTGGAGTCACCATCCCTGGAAGTCTTCAAAAGACGTTTAGATGTAGAGCTTAGGGATATGGTTTAGTGGGGACTGTTAGTGTTAGGTTAGAGGTTGGACTCGATGATCTTGAGGTCTCTTCCAACCTAGAAATTCTGTGTGATTCTGTGTGATTCTGTGTGTGACAGTATGAACCAGATTACCAGAAGAGAAAACTAAGAGTAGATCGAGATCCATAGGACTACACCTATGTATTTCCTTAGTTTGCATGTTGCTCTTGCTTAACTGGCTGCTCACCCTCCCTTACAAATGAAGATAAAGAATACAACTCTTTAAAAAATGTCTTTCATCTTCTTAAAAAATACGAAAAGGCACATTCAAAATGTGTGTTTTTTTTTTTTTTTTTTTTCTGAAAAAAAGAATAAATATTTGAAAATAATATTGCAGTTATTATACTTGTCCATCTTCTCTTCTGTTCCTAACATTAAAAGGAAAAAAAGGGGAATAGGGATCTCTAGATGTCCCTTGCAAGTAAAGAGGAATGTTTTTCAAAGCAGAAATTCCATTTTTATTCTGAAATTCTGATTACTGAGAAAAAAAGAAAAATATTTAAGAAAAAAAAAATAAGACCTTAATTTTAACAGACTAAGCTTCTCATAAGTTCTTTAAGAAGTCCTTTTACTTTGACTAGATCTGCACACAGTGCATAAATAAGCTATAGTTTTGTTGGGAAGAGTAAAATGCAGACGGTGGTAGCATATTCCTTGTTCATGTCAGTACATCTCACCTAACAGAATTTAAAGATGTAGATGCATTGTTTATGTGCTCCATCCTAACCTCTCTTGACTTAGGACTGTGCACTGACCTGAGTTTTCTCATGCCTTTCAGTAACAAAATCCTTCCCTCCACTTCCTTCTGGCCTAAAGACAAAACACACATTAGACACTTTTCCTTTCTGGGCACAGAACAAAGCTGCTGCAAGTCTTGCCTGGTTACCATAATGACACGTAATTGCAGTCCTTCACTTTTAAAGTTTACCCTGTCTCAAGGGTAATGGCAGTGACAGGAGGGGGGATTTTATACTGTAAAAAAGCCAAACTATGAAACTGTTGTGAACTATTTTAAGAAAATTCCTTTAGTCACCAGTACCTTAGAGGAGGGTGTAATATTTTGACTCCATTGTGCTTTCAATTGATTCTGGAAGGACCAGGCTTTCCCCTGCAGGAGCTGACCTTGTGCCAGTGACATCAGTGGAAACATTGCTATAGACTTTATTGGGAATTGGATCCGATGCGCAGTTTGCACCAGTTGTGTGATAGCCCTAGATAAAGTCTTTTTCTTTATCACATTAGTAGCTTCTATCATAATGTACATGTTAAGACTTCATTTAACTTCGTGTTGAGGATATGGCTAATATTGAAACATGATGAGCAATAATTTTCTTTCTTTGAAAAAGTTATTTTCCATACTTTTCCACTTGGAAATGATATTTTGTCCACGAAGAAAGAAAACAGTCACATTTTCAGACCTACCCCTGGAAAACTTTAATAGAATCCAATTCTCCTTCTGTCATTAGAAAAACTCTGAGAAGAAGAAAATATTTAACTTTCACTGTCCAGCAAGGATTCATTTGTATTTTTCATCCAGTCTTCCGTGCTTACCCTGTTCATTTTAGGAGTGGTTTCATGGTGGCAAAAAGGAACCACATTAACAATATTTCAGTTGGGAATATTATGAATTTTGTAGTGAACACATGGACTGAATACTAGTCTTAAAAGTCAATTAACAAGTTCTCCCACTTACTGGTGGAAGAATAAGTGAGTTTGGATATTCTTTTCATGGGCAATATACCTGTTTTGCTAAAGTAAATTCTTAATTCATTGCTTACTATATACTACATTTACTATATACTTCCATACAGTAGAAATATTTCTACATTTTAGATGAAGATGCTGTAACTGTATTTTAATGAAATCTAGCATTACTTAGACTACATTACTTTTGCCGAATGCACTGTTGAACATTTACAAGTATACTATGAAGTACTATCATAACAAAATTATACTTGTCAAACAAATGAATAAAGTGCATTTTAAGGCACATTACTTTGTTTTTAATTGTATTTGTTCACTTACTTGGTACATTAGATCATAAAACGCAGTAATTTGTGATGGAACTTCCAGCCAGTGTAAATTATTACATTCTTACTGTACACGTTTTATGGGATTTTGTTTTTTAAACTTATCACCCAAGTCTTTAGTGGCTAGGCAGCTATCAGGAGAAATAAATTAACATTAAAGTTTGTTATAGACTACAGTTTAGTTTGATTTTTAATCATGGACCATATGGTGCCATATTTTGTCATATCTGATAACCCATCTTGATCAATTCAGTACTGTGGATCTCTAGTGTCTCACAGAGAGTGCAATAATGAATGTATGACATGAATAATAGTCTATAATGCTAACACTGTCAGGTAGAAGGAACGATCTGGTTTGCAAGATTATTACTTTGTGATTTTATTTTATTTTATTTTTTGTCACGGGCCCTCATGATTATAAAATAACAAGCTAGCAACTATTGAACACAAAGCATGGGTCAAATGCTCTCTGTTTCTCATAAGCAATTTGTGATGATTTTAAGTATGATTCCTGTAAGTATACATGAGAATGTAATTAATTTCTTGCAGAATTGGGAGAAAAATGCACCAACAAAAATTAATGAGCAGATAGATTTTTGTTCAGAGAAATAGACACGTTAACAAAATACTCTGGTACATAATGTTTTCTTCACGTGGAAAATATCAATGTATACAATTTTATTCTTTGGTTATTTTTATATACAGAATAATGTATGTTATTGTTTAAAGAAATGAGGGAACACCAACCAAGGTTTTTAAGGTTTTATATATATATATGCAGATATATATATAAATTTTAAAAAGGAGGGAAGATTGGTAGCTAGTTGTGTACATAAGGTTAAATAATGTTTCCCAGAATTTGAAAATGTCACATTTTTCTACAGCGTATAGACGGAACATAACTAATTCAATAAAAACATGATTTGAAATTTTAAGTTAAGGTTTGCAATTCACAGAATTAGATTATGACCAATGCAAAATGATTCAGCTGGAACTCCTCAGTCCCAGTATGAAAATCTACAAGGATCCTGAATGGAACACTAACAAAAGGAAAATAATGCATTGGCTGGAAATTCATCTTCAAAGCTCTTAACCAGCTTTTGGCCCATGGTCTTTCCACTCCCTAAATAGCGTTTTTGTTTAAAAACTCTGAATTTTCATGTTGGTAACTCAGTGCAGCCAATTTGCCACATGTATGTGAAAGTTCCCTTGTATAGGACAGAACATAAAATAGGTGGTTTTGTATCTATGAAATGGCACATTGCTCTGTGCAATGTAAACAACAGATGATTGTGAGAAGCTAATTGTGATCCATAGTGATGCTGTTCTTACTAGCCAGAGACAAGCATATTCATTAACCTTGACAAAGCACTGCTAAATGACATCTTGAATTTGTCTGCCAATATGGGCTACAATTATCAAATCAATTGGCTTTGCAGAAAATCAGTTCCTATTCTTCTACATGGCTCTTTTCTGTTGGCACTACCTGTGCAATTTTGGCCTTGCCAAACCCTTCTTTGATGGAGGAGCTCCCTAGATTTTATTAAGAAGCCAGTATTTTCAGAAATACGTCTCAAAAAGAAAGATCTCAAAATAAAGGAAACACTACTACAGAATAAAAACTAAGTTCAATATTTAAATGGGCAATTCCGAGCATCAGTTATTTTGTACATTTAATGCATATGAAGTCTGCATATGAAGAGTGAAAACTTCATTCCTGACTGCGAAAATAATGAGGTTGATTTTCTCCTCCTAAACAATCCAATTACACTTTTTCTTAGAAAGATAATTTTATATTTTTTGATAGGATGTATAAATCTGAATTTAATTAAACATGCCACTGTAGACATGCCTACAATTATTACAAATTAAATTTTGCACTTATTTTACATGTAAGCTAATTAATAGACAATGAAAGTGAATAATAATCACTGTCTCACAGCAATGGAAAGCACTACAGTTCTTCATGGAAATTGGTTATAATCTGTGAAATCATTACTGAAGTTACATGTTGCTGTAAACATTCCTCCTTGTTTAAGAGCTCTTAAACAGTTGTAGTAATG